ATCACATTCAACACACACATATGGCAACACATGCCAGGTCTGCCGCCCGCCCCAGAACGCCATCCTCGCGGCGGCCAGCGCGGCGGGGGCGGCGAGCCGCGGAGGCGGCGCGGAGCCCCCGGGGCACGCAGCCGCCGCTCCGAGCCCCGCCGCTAACGCAGAGGGCGCGTCAAGCAGCGGGTCGCCGATGCCCGGCCGCCTGCCGGGGTCTCAGTCCAGGCCCCCGCCGCCCCAAGTCGCTAATTGCCCACTGAGTTGCAACTAGTTCAAGCTGCCTCTACGGCTAGGCCCGACCAGCTCCTTCATTCCATCGACCATTACGATTCATTACTCCAGTGGCTCATTGTGGCCTTAACTAGTTAACTAGGCCTCCGCCGCCGAGATATGGGGAGATATGTGGAGATCGCCTTAATTACTTACTAGGCCTCCGCCGCCGAGCAGCTGCAAGCGCGCCCGCGCCCCCGGCGCAAGTTCCTTCCTCTCGCTGCCCTCTCATCGCCTCGGGGCGCCGCGCGCCGCGTCGAGCACGCCCACCACGCGGCCCGCGGCCGGCAGCAAGAAGAAGCCGCGCGCGCGCGGCGCGTCGCTCGGCGGCCCGCTCGGCGGCCAGCCCGGCCTGGCGACTTTCTTCCGGCCCGCGGCGTGACGCATCTCTCTCGTCTGGCGGAGATCGGATCTCGCGAGATGGCGCGCACCCGAGTTGGACGCTCTCGCCGCGTGTGGCGGTGAGGCGCCTGGGGTCTCACATGTCGTCAAGAAGAACGGCGTGCGCTGATGGATCGGACAGTATTCACACACGACACGCACGCCCCGCGACGTCTGGAATGTAAAGTAATCTGCACCGCACGCGGCCTTTATTTTGATCTCTACTCTTGTCTCTGGTCTCTCGCTCTCTCTTGATCTCTTGAACTAGTTGAAGAGCGGTCTATTTTCTTCGGCAGCATGACACACACCCCTCACAAGGCTACAAACACAGCGTCGTGAGACAAAACTCACGTGTCACGACCGCCCGCTCGGTGTTGCTGCTTGCTCGCCGCGTCCGCCGGCTGGTCAAGGAACGGCAGCGCTTCTCCGGCGGGCAGCGGGACGTCGAACATGTTGAGTATCGCAGAGACGGCGGAGTAGCACCTGGCGGCGTGTCATGTCCGCCCTGAAAGCGGCACAGGGGGCCGTACGCCCCTCGCAGCGCGCGACTCATGACGCGCTGCAGCTGCGTGTGCGAGTGGTGGCGTCGTGTGACATCGCGATGCCTGGCGTGGCTCTGTCTCGGTGTGTGTGCCGTGCACCCCATCGTCATGCACAAGTCGGCCATTAATGAATGAATTAATTAATTAATCTCGGTGTGTGTGCCGTGCACCCCATCGTCATGCACAAGTCGGACATTAATTAATTAATTAATTATTAATTAATCTCGGTGTGTGTGCCGTGCACCCCATCGTCATGCACAAGTCGGCCATTAATTAATTAATTAATTAATTACTTATCGGTGTGTGTGCCGTGCACCCCATCGTCATGCACAAGTCGGCCATCCGCCGGTCGTCGCCTGGCGCGCCGGAGACGATGATTTATTGCTTAGCATCGATGGACTAATGTCTGTCGCTGAGGCGGGGCGCGTGGGCCGCACCCGGGCGAGGACCGCTGCCATGATGGGCTTCTCATGAGTTCATGGTTAGTAACGGGCGAGGCCCCCGCCGCCATGATGCTACTCGAGCTGCTCGGATGGCCGCCGCGCGCCTCCGAGCGCTACCTTGGCCGCCGCGTATGTGGGTGCCGAGACTCGCTTGGTGCGCATGAGCTCCAGCGCCAGCGAGTACACCGCCGCCTTTAACAATGCATGGGTTCATCAGTTAAGGAAGTGACAGCAAGCACGCCGCGGCCTCAATCAATTCATGCATTCATTGGGAGAGTGAGTTGTGACTCGCTTGCTGCACATGAGCTCCAGCGCCGCCTGGGCAGCCGAGCTGACCGTCAACGGGGCGTGGGGAGGGGGTCCGAGTGTCGGGATGAAGGGTGCCGCGCGATTCCGGGCCCGACGCTGTGCGTTTGCAATACAGGTCGTCTTGCTGCGGGTGTCTCTAGTCCGGCTGTGTGGCGCGGGCGAGCGGAGGCGGGCTGGGCAGCTGGCGTTGGGTCGCCTCGTCGGGCTTGAGCACACCGCGGAGCCGCTCAGCCGGCGCGCCCGCCTTGATGAGCGGGAAGGCGGCCTGCGCGCGGGCCCCACCCGGCAAACGGCGCCTCTCAGCGTGGCACTGAGAGGCGCGAGGAGGCGGGTGGCGCTCTCGCGAGGCGCGAGGGCGCGGCGGCGCGGGCGGGTTGGGGGGGCGGCGACCTCGGCGATGCCGGCCTTGCGAGCGAGCCGCTCGTGCGCGTACCACTCGAACTGCGCCCTCCAGTGCACGCCCACCACGAGGATCGCCACCTCGTACAGCCGCGGCTCGAGCGAGTTCTGGTGGCGCACGGCGCTGGCCAGGCGCTCGAGGTGCTTCCCGAGATGCGGAGAGGCCACCTCAGCATTCCACGGCCCACGCAGCCCGCCCTGCTCATCGAAGAGCGCCTCCTTGCCCACCACACCCGCGCGTGTCGACACGATGTCGTCGAAGAGCTCCTGCTGCGCCTCACTCAGATGCGGCGGCTGCAGCGGCGGGAGGCGCGCAGACGAAGTCGAGGCGAGGGCCATAGCTCGAAGGACGACGATGCGCCTGGTGTTGACAAGACTGCTCCGTCGGCGGGAGGCGGAGAAAACTCGCATGAGCGCCGCCGAACAGCTCGGAAAAAAGAAAACAAGTTGTGCGGGCACGGGACTCGCCGACCAGGGAGAGCCGGCCCGACCTCCCTGGGAGGGGTGGCGACGAGACACGATGCCGCCGCCCTCGCCCGGGGAGACCCCGGCCGGGCCGTCGACGCCCTCGGAGTCGGTGGAGCCGGGAGAGGCTGGCGAGGACGAGGGTGAGGGGGGTCCGGGGGGGAGCACAAACATAGGACGCCCATCCTTGCCCTCGTGCCGCCGAGTGCATATCCTATGCGAGAGAGATCCGGGATCCCCTGTGCCCTGTGCCCAGCCCTCTCCGCGCGGCGATGCGCCCTCCCCCCTCGCTTTTGCAAAATCCTGCAAAGGTGGGGATGTGACATGTGTCTGTCCTCGACCCAGCCCTAGCTTGGGATGTTCGTTTCATTTATTCATTTATTTAACTAAGTCACTAGAGATGCGGCGTCGCGGCGTCCGCGTACGAGGCGTTCCTCAGCAGCCAGTCGAACTGGTCGCGCGTGAGGTTCGTCTTCTCAACCGGGACGTGGTGGCCTCCGCGGTTGCAGCGCTCAAGCTCCGAGCTGTTGTACCAGCACGGGTCGTAGGCGGAGAGGCTCTCGAGGGCGGCGGTCGCATTGGCGTACACGCGACACGCGCAAACGCCGAAGAATGCGGCGACGGGCAGGCCGCCCGACACGTTTGCCGCCCCGAGCAACTTGCGGTAAATCGGCGCCTTGCCGGCCTCGCTGACGGCCATGTCGAACGGGTCGCGGAACTGCGAGATTGTTCACGGGCGCCAAGGCAGGGGCCGTGAGGCGGTGGCGGCGGTGCGGGGCGGGCGATTCAGGCATGTGCAGGCAGAGGCTTGCCGGCTTGATAAGCCAGGGGCAGAAGAGCGGCAGGTACTGTGGCCGTGCGAGGCCGCCGAGGTTGAGCACCTATACTCGAGACTCGCCACTTCAGGCGCCTCGTGACGCTCCCCGACGCGAGGCACCCCGCCGCGGATTGTCCACCGGCCGGCCCAGAAACTCTGGCAGCGAGCAGTTCTGCAGAGGCGGCGGCAGCCAGCCGTCTCGCGGCGCGGCGGTGTAGTTGCGCACAACCTCGTCCAGCTTCTTCCAGTTGATCACGATGCCTACTCTCAGGAGCGTCGCCGTATGGTTCACACCGCGTACCCGCTGAAAGCAAAGCAATCTCTGGGCGATGCCGGCGTCCGGGTCCATCCCGACTCGCGATGAGTGCTTCGCATTCACATACCGGGGCTGCGCCTGCAACGTCGCATACCAGCCCAAATCCTGCAGCGGCAGAGTTGTTGCGAAGGACATTGGTCCTCCTGCGACTGTAGTCGACTGTAGAACGCGCGTGACCAACCTCTCACAGACCAGCGGAGACAGCCGATACGACGTATAGTAGGGGGAGGGCTCCCAGGGCTTGGAGGTCTTTTCAGTTGCAACCATCGAGATCCACACACTAACACAGACGTCTGAAGAAAGGAAAGGAGGAGGGAACACCGTTTCACCTCGTGTGACATGTTGTATGGCCATCACACCCGAGAAGGTCACGGTCCCGAGAAGGTCGAAGAGAAGCGGCCACGCAACACACTACACACTCGCCTACTTGCGCCCACGCAGCAAGCACGGCCTCGAGATCCACAGACAGAGCCGCGCACGACGACGAGCTCACGCGCGCGGCCCATCAACGCGCTCGGGGATGGGGGCATCGGGAGCACGCCTTCCAGGAAGTTCGACCTGATAGACGCCTGCACCGCGTCTGCAACCTCCGCATCACTGGACGCCTGAGGATCATGGTCCCGTCGCCCCCCAGCCCTGCCCCCCGCCTGCCCCCCTCGCCCCCCTCGCCCAGCCCCCCTCGCCCCCCTCCCTGCCCCCCTATGCCCCCCGCCTGCCCCCCTCTGCCCCCCGCCTGCCCCCCTCTGCCCCCCTCTGCCCCCCGCCCTGCCCCCCTCGCCACACATCAAGAAAAAGAAAGAAAGAAAACGGACACGCCAAGGGAGGGATGGGGAGGACGGCACGCCGCCACCACACAGGGATTTTAAGGAGAGGGGTGTGGTGCACTAGCCGTCGCCCACCCTTGGGCGTCCGCCTCTTCCTATCTCTCTGGCACGCAGCCACGCGGAAAGACAAAGTGCGTTTGCGAGGTGGTCGATTTGGCGGAGCTGGCGAAGCGGGAGGGAGCCGACCTCAGCGGCCTCACACCGTCGACCATCTCGGCAGACGCGATCAAGGCCCTCATGCCCCGCGGTGACCCATCGACGGCGGGCCCATCGCGGGTCTCCAAGCGGGCGGCGGACAAGTCTCCGCCAGACCAGGCGCTTGCCGCTCCCTCTCGGCGACAGCCCCCGCTCCCTCTCGCCGCCCCGCTCCCGCCCGCCTGCCTGCCCCCTCCGCCGTCCGCCGCCCTCGGGTGTGCTCCCGCCGCCTGCCACCCGCCGCCTACCCACCGTACCTACCAACCCCTCTCTCCGCGCCGATCCGCAGCCGCGGCCGAAGCGCATCGAGCCCAAGACTTGGCCGTTCAACCTCGAAGACTTGTACCAGCTGCTGGAGCAGCCCTCGGGGGGTCGGCAGATGGATGCCCGGCCTGCCACCCCGCCCTGCCGGCCGACGTCTCGCCTCTGGCAGAGCGACCCTGGCCCGCCCCGCCCCCGGCGTGTTGCACCCCGCCCGGAGGGAGATGCGGGGTTTCAGCGGGAGATGGTGGCCGTGTTCCGCGAGAAGGCCGCCTCCGACGCAGCCCGAAAGCAACTCGAGCAGACCGTGTCCGAGAAGGCCGCCTCCGACGCAGCCCGCGAGCAACTCGAGCAGACCGTGTCGCGGATGGCGAAGGCGCTGGAGAGCTCGACTCAGCTCTGCGCCAAGCTGCAGCAGGCGGCGGCGGCGACGGCGAAGGGCAGCTCCAAGGCCCTTCAGAAAGTTGCGAACACGCTGCTGGCGCCGGCGGGCGGCAACCTCACGGTGCAGCAGGTGGCGTGGGCGGCGGCCCACTCCGCCGCCGTCCTGCAGCCCCACGACTCGTGAAGCGAGTCACACTCGCTCGAGCCGTATCTCCTTGTCTAGTTGTCTCCCTCCGCGCTCTCTGCGTTCGTCTCGATAGGGTTGTACTGTACATGCCTTTCTGCCGGCGCCCCCCTGCCCTGGGCCACGGCCGTTGTTTATGTGTTTGTTGTTTGCCGTTGAGGCCACGTACGTTGCAAAAGAAACAAGAGAGAAGGACCAGGGCGAACCCGGGCTGCCGCCGTCGTCGCTGCCAAAGGTTTTGGGCGGTGCCGGTAGTACCACAAAAGAAAACATGACCACAAAAGAAACATCGCGCGTGCACCACCTTGCAGGAATGGCTGCTCCTACTCGCGAGGAGATCGAGGCGCTGCTGCAGACAGTGAAGGAGCAGGAGATCATGCAAGGTCAGCTCGACACGCAGGAGGCGCTCGACGCCGGGTGGCGGGGCCGGAGGCGGCCCGGAGGGCGGCAGCGGCGGCGCGGCGGCAGCGGCGACGGGCGGGAGGGTGGGCCGGCGGCGGCGTTGGGCGAGGCGGCGGCGCGGGTGGCAGTGGCCGGGGCGGCGGTGCGGGTGGGCGGGAGGCGGCCGCCGACGGTGGCGGTGGCGGCCGGGCCATCGGCGGCGGGCGGCGCGGCGGGTGGGGCGGCAGCGGGGCACCAGGAGATGGTGCCGTGGGCAGCGCTGCGGGGAAGGGAGGAAGGGGCGGAGGGAGGGAGGAGGGGGGGGCGGCTCGCCTGCCGCCCTCGAGCCGCGACAGCCGGTGCCGTGGCCGGCCCGCCTTCGAACGTGAAGGGGGGACGGCCTCATGCCGCCTCACCGCGCGACGCGGCGGCCGGCCGCCACCTCAAAGGAGGCCTCTCGCGCTCAAAATACGTGCGAGGCACCTGCCGAAGGGGGTGGGGTGGTCGGGCGGTCTAGGGGAAGGCGTCTCCGGTGGGTGGGCGCCGCTCCTACAGCGCGCGGGGCGGGGAGGCCGACTGCGGCGGTGATACGGTCGCGCGCGCGGGGCGTGGAGGGCCAGGGAGGTGGAATCCGGGGCGGCGGAACCTTCCGATTTTTTGCGGCTTTAATTAGCCCGAGGCTGGCCGGAGAGGATTGACCGGTCCGATGTTTGTTTTTCCGTTGCTCCAGCCGGCCAGCCGTGCCTACGGCGAGAAAAGGAGCGTCCGACCCGGTCCGATCTCGCGCTCCAGCCGGAACGCCGAGCGCCTCGGACGCCAAGCGGAAACGGCGTTCCGAGGCGGGGCGCGGTGGCGATCACCGGTCGGCGCCTTCGCGGCCGGCCGGCCCGGTGGGTCGCCACGGCACATGCGCCGCGCGCCGTCGCCAGGCCCCGCCGCCGCCCCGCCAGAGCAGCGGCGAGATGGGAGGCGGTCGGCGGGTACCATCGGCTCTTGAGCGAGCTTTCAGCTCACTTTGACGACGCTAGGAAAATCAATTCGTGGAATCCAGTTCGAGATGCAGTGAGGCGGAGCCTACCCTGACACCACCAGCGAGCGCGTGTTTGACGGCCGCTCCATCGCACCTGGTGCCCACATACTCAGCACACGAATTCATCTTCGTCGGAGTCTAATAGAGCGTGTCGCGCCCCGCACGCCCGCGCGAAGGGTGGCCCACGGCGGGCGCGCTCACGCTTGGCCGGCGGCGGCGACCGTCGCGTTGTGCGCCGCCACGGCGGCGGTGACAGCCGCCTTTGCCGCGACACGGGCAGCAGCGCGGGCGGCGGCCTCGTCCGTCGGCGTCCTGGCCGCGGCCAGCGCGGCGTCGGCGGCCTCGAGCGCGGCGAGGGCACCCTTGGCCCCAGCCGCGGCCTTGCGCAGCGCTTGCGGCGCCGGGGGGCCCGCCGGGCCGGGGTGCGGCGCGGCCGCCGTGCAGCGCGTGCGTCACGGTTTGGATCTCGACCATGCGGGCAATGTTGTTGAAGTGCTCGGGCGAGTCGCCGCGCAGCCGCTCGGCCCCGACTCTCCACCGATGCTGTCACAGCAGGGCGCCGCAAGCGAGCGCCACGGCGGCCGTCATCGCCACGGAGCGCGGCGCCGCCATCTCGGGGTGGAGGGCGGGCTGGACGGCGGGGCCCGGGCGGAACGGGGGCGGGGCCGCTCAGGTCTTGCGGCGTGCCGCCATGATGCCGACGGCAACGCCGGCGAGAGCGCCCGCCGCCACGCCCAACCCGACAAGCCGGAATGTGGCGGCGGCGTCGGTGCCAGTCGCGGTCGGCCGGTCCGGCTTGGGCGCGCGCTCCATGACGAAGCGCCTGCCGCTGGGGAGGCGAGGCGCCGGCACGGCGGCGATCACGCGGAATTGCGCGATCCGCTGGTAGTACCGGCATGTGCGCTCCTCGCCGGTGTACAGCATCGATCTGCACCGCTCGATCTCGGGGAGGCCGAGCGCAGAAGTGACCATGAACTCGGCGAGACCTTGCCCCCGCAGCGCCTCCTCGACGACCACATCGGACAGGTAGGCAAAGGAGATACGGTCGGTGACCAGCCGCAAGAAGCCGACGAGATCGCCAGTCGGAGCGTAGAGTCCAAATGCCCACGCGTTCCGAGCGCGCGCGGCGCAATCCTCCAGAGACACACCCTGGCACCAGTACTGCGGCGCTAGCAGCGCGTGGATCTTCGCGAGGCTGGCATGGATCCTGCCAGGGCTGTCGTCCAGCTCGTAGCCCGCCGCGTTGCTCGCATGCACGACCATGGGCGTGGTTTGGCGTGGTCGGTCCGCAGCGCTGCGACAATTTCTTTTCTTTGCATGCTCTTGTCTTGTTTGTGCACCAGCACTTGGAGTGCAGTGTGGGTGCATAAGTTTCTTTTTCTCACAAGGGATCCCAAGGCGTCGGCGTCATGGGCGACATCGTGCGCGCCGGCTGGGTCACCAAGGAGTCGCGGCACTGGGGACGGTGGCGGCTGCGCTGGCTCGAGCTGGTGTACGAGGAGGGGACGAGCGTTCCAAACCTGTGCTCCTACAAGGCGGCGCGCATGCAGTGGCCGGAGGAGCCGCCCCGGCCGACTGAGCGGCTTCCTCTGGTGGGCGCGACGTGCTTCCCGTGCCCTGACGACGGCACCATGGCCGCCGGTCGGCCGCACGCCTTCGCCCTCAACCTCCGCGGGCGAGACTTTGTATTTGCGACCGAGACGGCCGACGAGGCGGTCGAGTGGGTGCGCTCGCTCTCGCTCGCCATCGCGGAGCTCGCTCTGCGCCTCGGCGGCGTCGAGCCGTCGAGCATGCTCGCGGGCGGCGTGCCTTCGCCATACGAGCCCTTCAACGCCGCTGCAACCGCCGCCGCCGCCGCCGCCGCCGGTCTAAACAGCCGCTCCGCCGAGTCGGCGTCGGCGTCGGCGTCGTCCGTCTCTTCCGGAGCGTCGTCGCGCTCCTCGCGTGGCGCGCTGCGCACTGCCTCGTGCGCAGAGTCGCTGCGCGGTTCGGCGCCGTCGCGCGTGACCGACGGCGGCGCACCCGAGGCGCCGCCCCGCGCGGACGCTGCCGCCGCCGCCACCGCTAGCGCTGGCGCTGGCGCTGGCGCTGGCGCTGGCGCTGGCGCTGGCGCTGATGGCGGTGGCGTTGGTGCGTCGGCTCCCATCGGCGCCGTCGCTCCCGGGTCAGCGGCAGAGGGCGCGATGGCGGCGGCGGCGGCGAGCGCCCGGCGGGCGGAGAGAGGCGCGGCGAGCGACCGCGCGCCCTCGCTGAACAGCGTCTCGCCCTCGCTGAACAGCGTCGACCAGATGGCGCGTCTGCTCAGCGAGGAGATGAGTGATTAGTAGTGAATTAATGGTTGATTAGTTAATTAATTAGGCGCGTCTGCTCAGCGAGGAGATGAGGGCGACCGAGCGTCTCTCAACCAGCCTCGGAAGCGGGCCGGGGCAGCGCAGCGATCGGAGCAGCAGCGGCGGCGGCATGAGAGGCGGCGGCGGCGGCGGCGGCGGCGGCGGCGGCGGCGGCGGCGGCGGGGGCGGGGGCGGCGGGGGCGGGGGCGGCGGGGGCGGGGGCGGGGGCGGGGGCGGGGAGGGTGGCGAGGCGGAAGGGCATCAGCTCGTCGCCGAGAATTCGGAGCTGAGGGGCTACATTGCGGCGCTGCACGGGTCCCTCGACGCGGTCGCGCTCGGGCAGGTGAACCGCGGCATCGAGGAGCTGCTGCAGCGGAAGGGCGAGCTGGAGGCGGAGCTCGAGGCGGCGAGAGAGGCGCGCGCCGTGGCTGCGGCGGCGTCTCCGCGGTTGGGCCCCTCTTCGCCGCGCGCCTCGCCGGGGGAGATCTCGATCTCGCCGGCGGAGATCTCGACCTCGCCGGGGGAGATCTCGATCTCGCCGGGGGAGATCTCGACCTCGCCGGCGGAGATCTCGACCTCGCCGGCGCCACTTGTGAGAGGGAAGACGCGTTCCACACGTGGGCATGCCGTTGAATAGGCGGCGGACAGGCGCTTCGGCGGGGGCGGCGAAGGGGCGGGCGGCGGCGACGGGGGCGGCGGCGACGGGGGCGGCGGCGACGGGGGCGGCGGAGGTGGAGGCGGAGGCGGAGGTGGAGGCGGAGGCGGAGGCGGAGGCGAGGCGGGTGGCGGAGGCGGAGGCGAGGCGGGCGGCGAGGGGGCCCGCCCCGCGCGGTCGAGCGCGGCGACGCGGATACAGGCGCGGCTGCGCAGGACGCGATCTCGGCTAGATCTCGGCCAGATTTTGGCCAGATCTCGGCGAGATCTCGGCTGGATCTCGGCCGGGTTTCGGCTGGGATCTCGGCCTGATCTCGGCTGGATTGCGGCTGGATCGCGGACGCAGGCGCAGCTGCGCGGGCAGCGCGCTCGCGAGCTAGCGGCTGCGGAGACGGAGGTGGCGGAGCTCGAGTGTGATTGCTGTGGGGTGTGAACGGCGTCTCTTCACAGCGGCGGCTGTGAACAGGTGGCGGAGCTCGAGCGTGGCTCCGCCGCCCTCGAGTTGCAGCTACACTTCCTCCGTGACCTGCTGCGCCGCGGCGAGATTTCTTTTTTTGAAGGGCCTAGGCGGGGTGTTCCTGTTTTAGGCGACCAAGCGCAGCAGATCGCTTGCCGCGTCACCGCTGACGGCCGCGAGAGTGACGACAGCGACCGCCAGTACGAGCCCTTCCGAGGCTCGATGGCGCGCCACTCCTCTCGGCTCTCCACCGGCTCGTCCACCGCGGACTTGCCGGCGGCGGAGGCGTCGACCTGACCGCTCACACGCGCCGCGCACACAGTCGCCAGAGTGGCGTGTCTTGCTTTGGTGGTGGGGCGGCCGGGCCGGGGCGTGTCGGTTGTCGAGGAGGCGGTGCGGAGCTGGAGGCGAGGCGCCGTAGAGAGAGCGGAGAGGTTGTGTTTCGGGCGTTCGTGCCGCGGGTGGCGGAGTGGGCTGATTGAGAAAACATGTGCCGCCACAGAGCGCCCCCCAGCGGCAGCGACTCGCACACCTCTCTGCGGGCAGGTCGGTCTTGCTCTTGGGACGGGGGGGGCACGCGATGTCGCGATCGCGATCGCGGATCGGCCCCCGATTCTCGATGGACGATGCACTCGATCTGGCAGAGAGCTCCTTGGTTCGCACATCGCAGGCGCGGGCGACACACACACGCTATATACTCCTCTATCGTCTATCGAGGCCGCCGACGCCCACACGCGCGACAGGCTGCTGCGCGGGCGACCCCCGACCCCCTGTGACGGCAAACCCCGCACAAAGTGACCCTTTGTAGGTGTGGTTCCGAACCAGGCTGGTTCCTGGTACCTGGTTGTTTCTTTTGAGAAACGTCGCCTATTTTTAATTTTTACCCATGCCCGTACGCGCGTCAGACGCGCGTATCTTAGCCAAGGTACGCGGCCACGCGCGTCAACAGAATAGCCACCTCCACGCGGGGGGGCGCGCATCGGGCTCATCGGGCGGCCCGATACGTGTCATTCCGGAGGCTGGTACTCGCCGACCGTCCCCGCATACGCCACCGCCGCCTCCACCGCCGTGTCGAAACTGCCGATGTAGACCTGCCGTTCGTTCACCCTGTGCTCCGCCTGGAAGCGGCCCCCTCGCTCGTACACGCCCTTGTACCCGGTGTTGTTGCTGGAGAGGTGCAGCTCCGTGCCGGCGCGTATCTTAGCCAAGACGGGCGCGGCTACACGTGAAGACGCGTGTAGCCGTAGGACTTGGTCATCGACGTGAGTGTCAGTGCATCCTTGCGGGCGAGACAGAGGCGGAGGACGGTGGTGGCGGGTGGGAAGGCGCGGTCAAATTGCCGAGGCGATGCCGTTGTTCTCTCTGTCGCCGATTCTGAAACCAGACCTGCGGAGGCAGCGCGTGCGGCGGGAGGTGAGAGACTGGGCACGCCGTGCTGCGTGCCCCCCCCCCCCCCTCCGCCGACGCAGAGACAGTCCGAGTGCGTGGCCCCGGCGGAGAGCGGCGGGGCAGGTGCGGCCGCCGCCTGGATCTGTCGCGCCGACACGTTGAGGTAGGCGGCGAGGCTCTTGCGCAAATGCGAGTCGGGACACGTTCGCATCGCGTAGACGGCCTCGAGCACGGCGCGCTGGTCGAGGGTCCTGCGGGGCACCACCGAGAAAGCGGTCAACTCAATGCGGGCCTCTGTGTCGCCCGTGCTTGGGCACGCGAGAGGCGGGCGAGGCGGGCGGCGACGCACAGCTGCAGCCGCCGCGTCGCCCCCTCGTCCTAGGTAAGGTAAGGTACGCTTCTCCACACACGCAAGGTGGTGGGGCAGGGGGGGGGGGGGGGGCGACCCTCGCGACTCCACTTTTGATGGCCTCGTCCATTCCGGCGCCTGATCCTCCCTCGCTCTGGCTGGAGCTCGAGGTTGACGGCATTGCCGACGGCATTGCCGACGGCATTGCCATTGCCGCAGGGAAGGCGGGAGGCAGCGTCGGCACGGCGTTGCCCTCCCGCGCGGGCTGCATCCCCGCGCGAGCAAGGCTTGTCTCCGGCCCGGCAGGCGGCGCGAGGGCCGTCGGGCCGCAGGACGACAAGGCCGAGGGCGGCAAGGCCGAGGGCGGGAAAGTCGAGGGCGGGAAGGTCGTGCCTGAGGAATGGTCCGAGAAGGGTCCGAGTCAGAAGGGTCCGAGAAGGGTCCGAGACAGGTCCGAGAAGGGTCCGAGGTAGGTCCGAGGGAGGCGCGGCGCCGCCTCCTCTCCTGTACTGTGTTCTGTGCTCACATCGATGCCGTGTGCATGTGTCCGGCTACCCTGCACACGAGCACACATCTCTCTGACGCGAGCCGTTTCACACACACGCCGCAAGATGGGCGGCACCGACTCGGACCGCCAGACAGCGCCAGATCTCGGCTGCATCTCGGAGCTGCATCTCGGAGCCGCGTCTCGCCTGGCCCAGTTGGCGGCGGCGGTTGCGGCGGCAGCGGCAGCAGCGGCAGCGGTGTGGGCGGCTTGCTGGCCGTGGTCGGCGCCGCGCCGGGCGGGCGCTGCAGAGGCGAGTCGCGTGGGGGCCAGCCGCTCCCTCCGCTGGCCGGGGGAAGGCCGCTCCAATGGCAGGCCGGCACCTGCCCCGCCGCCGGCATCATGCCCAGCATGCCCTCCGGCATGGGCGGCGGCATGTCTCGTGGCGCCGCCTCCTCCGCCTTATCTCCCGCCACCTCCACCCCCTCCTCCATCGCCTCGGGCGCAGAGGCCTCCCCCGCCCCCACCGTCTCCCCCTCCCCCCTCGGCCACGGCTCGCATGCCGTGGCCTCGCTCTCCACCCAAGCAGGGGCGCGCGGGGCGTGCGCGGGCGCCCCCACGGCGGTCGACGCGGCCGGAGCCGCAAAGCACGCTGGCGTCGGCGCAACCCCGGCCAACCCCGTGCCGCCGCTCGTGCTCGCCCAGACGCCCTGCTCGACGGGTATAGCGACCACCGGCGTCGGCGCGAGGAACTTCCAAGCGGAGCTATCGAACGACGTCTGCACGCCGACCGGATGCTGCCCGCCGGTGCCGGTGCCGGCCTGCCGCTGCGAGTTGAACATTTGCAGCCTGCTCTCCTCGATCTCCGCCGGGAGCGAAGAGAGGCTGCCCGCTGCCGCCTCGCGCAGGCCGCCGTGAAGCCCGCCGGGCACAGGAAATACACTCGGAACGGCGTGGAGGCCGCCGGGCACCCGAACGGCGCGGAGGGCAATGGGCGCAACGGGCGCCTGCTGCATCGCCTGCCGCCGCGCAGCGATTGAGACCGCCGCATCCAGCGGCGATGTGGGTACGCTAGGAGCCACGGGCTGCTCTTCCGCCGCCGCCGCCGCCGCCGTCGCCGCCTTTGCCGCCGCAGCCTCCGCCGCCGCCGACGACGCCGCCTGCACCTCGGCCGCCCACCCCGTCGCCTGCTCCGCCCAGCGGTCGCCCGCTGTTTGCGACTTGTGCAGTGCCTTGTGCACTGCCGCCTGGAGCCGCAGTGCCTGGAGCGGCGGAGGCGGCCGGCCCACTGCGGTGGCGGCGGTGGCTGCGGTGGCAGCGGTGGCTGCGGTGGCGGCAGTGGCGGCGGGAGTCCTTCCACATGTGTACTTCGACTCGAGCTTAGGGTCCCGAGCGCGTTTGTTCTGGACGGCAGAAGCGGGGGAGGGGGTGCGTTGAGGACGGGTATCTCCTTAACTCGGCGGCTTAGGGGGGGGGCGGGGGGAGGCGCCTGGAACCAGACTTGGATTTGGCGGGGCGAGACGGAAAAAGCGCTGGCCATGCGCTTGCGGTCCTCCAAGGAGGGGAAGGCGCTGACGAGGTAGGCCGCCTCGAGGATGGCGAGGTGAGAGGGCGGCACCTAGCGTAGGAAGTCGTAGCAGCGGTCAGTGAAGGGGTACGCGGGCGTGGCCGAGGCGGAGGGTGCGAGGCTGCTTGCCTGCCAGCGCTCCCCCTTGCGTGCCGCTGGCCGACGCGATGGGACCCGTGGGTTGAACGGCGCTCCTTTGCTCCCGCTCGCCTCCTGTTTGGGCAGGTCGAGGAGCAGGATGAGGGACGCGGCGGCGCCCTCGTCGCTATCGTCAGCCTGCAGCTCGGTGTCGCTACTGGAGTTCGCGTCGAGGGGCTCCGGCGGCTCCGGCTGCGTTCTGTCCTTCCGCTTTTGCTGGTACCAAGGCGTGGACATGGCGAGGAGATGCGGCTTTTGCTCCCCCTTCGTCTGACCAACTTGACTCCGAAACTGACCCCGATCCTTCGCCGAGCCGCCGTGAGTCGATTTCTTTTCATGGGTTTACATTCTTTTCCCGGAGGAGGAGGCTAGCAGTCCTTGCCCGGCGCTGCTTTTCCTCTTTTCCACGCCAACCCAAAAGGCGCGCGATATACACAAACAAGGAAATTGTCAAGTGAGTGAGAGTGAGTGCTGTGTGTATACTCACTCACTCACAGTGAGTGCACACGCACACAAACACAAAGGTCGCGCTCGAGCGGGGCGCATGCCAGTCGATTTCTTCGGCGACTACCATTACAACAAGGCCCACCACCGGCGGCCCCACGACGGCGTCCTCGCCGCCTGGGCGGACGCGATGCGCGCCCCGGCCAACGCGCCGGTCGTGCACGGCGACAAGGAGAAACCAGAGCTCACCCGGCAGTACAACGAGGGGTACAAGGTCGACCTCGCAGAACCCCACGCTGGGCCGCGATGACGTGAATGAAATCAAGCTCTGGACGCCCCTCCTCAAGACCTCCTCGCCGGGCGTTGGCAACGCCTCGAGTGGCGGCACGCCCGCCTCCGTTGGCCACTCCTACGCCTTTGGCAACACCGAAGAGAAGGCCCGCCGCCTAAACATGGGCTGCAAGGCGCGCGGGCAGCCCGGCCAACTCTTCTCCCACAAGACCGGCCACGGCTACGTCAAGGCGCATCGCGATTTCTACAGGATTTCTACCACGACGCGATCTTTGTCAAGCGCAACAACTTCAACCTGCTGCTCCACGAGACGTTCGGCGGCGGCTTCTCGCCCACCGCCGTTCTCAAGCTGCGCCGCCTCGCGCGCAAAGTCGCGCGCGGCAGCGTTGACCGCACGGCCTACTCGCCCAAGTACTCGCTCTCTTTTATGTCCCACCATGCAGAGCGCATCTCTCTCTCTGTTGTGCGAGGCGTGAACCGCGCCATTCGCTCTCACCTGGCAACCTTGTCTGCACGTCTCGCGCGCGCGTGAACAGGGCTCCAGGCCCCAAATGACGCGTGAGTGTTAGATTTGTTTGGTATTGCTAAAAATCTCTCTCTCGCACACACACCGACAAGTAATCTCTCTCTCACACACACCGCCGACACACACTCACACACGATGCACCTGCCCTTGTCAGAATCAAAGCCTCGCTCGAGATAGAGAGAGATTTTTGGCAATACCTCGTATCGTGCCCGCAATCCGATGCCAATCATCTGGCCCGCTGGCTGGGTGTGCTTCTTAGCCCCCCGGCCCTGGATGTGCGGTTTGATGACTTGCACTCCAAGTGCTCCAAGTGCAATACCAAACAAATCTAACACTGTCTCACACATCAGTCAGGGCGTCGAGAGATAGTGCCATGTATGTATCGAAGGTCCAGTCTCTCCTCACACCACAGAGCGCATTACAGAGAGCAATAGAGAGAGAGCGAGGCCGTGCGAGGGAGCGCGCCGGAAGAGGGGAGACGGGGTCTGCGCTCTCTTTCAACTCAGTATATACATGCATACAACAGCTTCGAGTTGATACCGCCTTAGTGAAAGTGACCGTGAGTGTGTGTCGGGGGAGGGGGAGGGGGGGGATTGTGATTTCATCTCCCACCACAACACCAAACACACACACAACCCTCTCTATAGGCCCAGCCACTCCCCGGCCGCGCGCAAACAAAACAGCACCGCTTCCACCGGGTGCGAGGCGCTGGTGCTTCTCTCTTCACCAATGCGGATGGATGCTCATCCTCCGCCGCAGGGCGGTCTTGAGCAGCGCTATCTGAAGCCTCGCATCCGTCTCGGAGCTTGCGAGATTGCCGGTCGTGGTGATGGCGCGGCAAAAGGCCCAGGCGCCTTTGGAGTGGTGGCTCTTGGCCTGCCGGCAGTGCCTGCACCGCCAGCCCAGCCGAGACTTTTCGAACTTCGTGCCGGCGCCCTCGGGCGACTTCTCACGCGCCACGCAGTTGAGCCTCCCGTGCGCGAGCACCTTAGGCGGCCGTCCCAGTGTCTAGTCCCAAACTATCCCAAAACGACGGCTGAAACGTTGAAGTGGCCCCCTTTCGTAGGACCGGCGCACGCGAAATATAGCCCACGCGCATGTCCGGACCCGCCCTCCCCCTCCCTGCACCCACCCACCCACCACCAACCATGCGTCCTGATTTGCCAGCAAGTCAACATACCTAAAACCAACGAAGCACGGAGGAAGGAGGACCCCAGCAGCACCGGCGTTGGCAGCTCAGCACAGGCGGCAGCGGCAGCAGCACAGGCGGCAGCGGCAGAAGGGTAGGCGGCGGCCGAGGCCGCGGGCTCGTGCCACTCGATCGTGCCACCACGAGCGGGCTATAATCGCCCAGCTGTGCTCCCCAGCGGACCCAGATCCCAGTGTGTGCGCGGCTCTGGCTGAGCTGCTCGCACAGCCCACAGACACAGTCCACAGAGAGGGTCTAGCTTCGGCCACGGCGGCGTCCTGTCGCGGGACGACGCCGGAGGCGGAGCTGCAAATGCTACATACAACAAAGAGTTTAGAGAATCTCTCGCAACTCTTGTGACATGTGTGAGCAAAGAAACAGCGATGGCGTTGTGAGCGCCCCATGGGGCGGCAACTGGGAGCACTTGGAGCACTTGTGGAGTGCAGTCATCTCAGAGTCATCTGACTCAGCTCCGCACTTGTGGAGTAGTGGAGTGCAGTTTGCTCGAGTGTGCACGTAGACGTTTGGTCCCCATAAATTCCAATCGTTTTCAATCGACCACGTCCATTAGTAGCGATCTCACATCCGCCGTGGCGACCTAAATACCGTCTCACCGCCGCCTCCCTCGGCGATGCTCCGCCCCTCCTGCTCCCACCACCGGCCTCCCATGAGGATGAGCGCCTGCAGCTCCTCGAGACGCCGCTCGAGCGCCTTCCGCGCCTGCACCTGTGAGGGCGGGCCAGGGCAGTGGTGCGAGACACATCACGACCGCGCTAGCGCTGGGCTGCGGCGAGGTGCAATCCCGCACCTCGCTCTCCACCAGCTGCTCGAGCGCCCCAATCTTCTCCTCCCGCACCTCCGCCGCTCGCTCCCTCGCCTCGTCCTCCTGCCTCTCGCTCTGGCTTTGGTGCACCAGCAGCGCGAGCCTACGTCCCACGGCGAGCCAATGCTAGCCGAGACGAGCCAATGCTAGCCGAGAACGGCCCGGCGTGTCCGCTCGCCCGACGCCGATCACAAACGACTGCCCGAGCAGCTCGCAGCCGCTCTCAATTGCCTCCCGCTCGGATAGGACAGGCGCCGCATCCACAGGCCGTCGCTCCGCCTTCGCCTCGTCGTCCGCCCAGAGCCGCTCCCGCCGCTCCCGCCGCCGCTCCTCCTTGTTGGCGTCGAGAGAGTTGTAGGCGCGGGCGAGTCTGGCGCACAGCGAGCGGAACCGCGGGCTGTTTGCGGCAGCCGCCTCGAGCCGGTTTGAGAGTGGCTCTGCGGCTCGTTCAACCACAAAGTAGGCCACCTTCACGAGCGGCAGCGACATGCTTGGCTGTTCACGTTGTCTGTGTGGCTCTCGCAGCAGGACGTCGCAGAGGGGCGGCCGGAGGGGCGGCTGGAGGAGCCGCCGCGGGATCAGCGCGTTTTCTTTTTTAAGTAATTTTGTTGCTTAGCTACCAGAGCTCCCAGTCCCGTGCCTAGTGTGAATTAGCTTTCCACGGAGCTAAGTGCCTCGCCGTCCTCGCGGGAGTCGCTTAGGCGGCTTCCGTGGTGTATCTGCGTTGATAGTGCCAGTAAATAAATAAATAAAACGGGCACGCCAAACGAGGGGTGGGAGAAGGACAGGGTCCCCACCTGCCGAGCAGGATCTTGTAAGGACGATCAGGGACACAGGGGAAGGGGAGCGGGGAGCGCATCGCGACACGGAGGGGGGCTGGGCAGGGTTCACCCACACGACAGGGTCCCAGGGATTCCTCTCTCGTATAGGACAGGTTGCACCCGGCGGCACGGGGGCAGGCGCGGGCCTCCTACTGGTTGCGCTCTCCTAGTTCTCCTAGGTAGGTAGGTAGTTCTCCTGCTCCTGACAAGGGACCGCGCGCGAGCCTGCACTTTCAGAGAAATCGAGGCGCACAGCTGAAGGAATGGCGCTTTTCCTGCTATCGCCCGTGTGCTCCGCGCTGAGCGATTCGGGCGTGCGGCTTCCGTCGTCGTCGTTAAAGGGAAAGGTCATGCCGACTGGCTCGCAAGTGTGGCCCGCCATCGGAGGCACCGCCGGCTTCCACCGCGGAGCGGGCCGGCTCGGAAAGAAACGCGCTCGGCTGGTCCCCGCGGCCTCCGACTCGATGTTCCTCGACGAGGCTGCGGCGCTGAAAGCACTCGACTTTCCGCTCAGCGAGGCTGAGCTCATCTCGGCGGCAAAGGCCTTTCTCTTCTATGGCCAGGGCACCGAGAAGCCGGAGCTTCTCGCGCCCGAGTATGTCTTCATGGGGCCGTACGTTGGAGGCGCGGACGGGCTCCCTCGCGACGAGTACTTGAAGGCAGTCGGCGGCTTCGACCTCAAGGCGGCGGCCCTGCCCAGCATTGTCAAGCGCACACTGCCAGCATGTCCGTGAGAGACTGGCACTCCCTAAGGCCGCCTTCCCCGACCTGAACCCGCGCTTCCACCACTTCCGGGCCGACCCCCTCGACGCGGGCAGAGTCTGGTTCACGAGCCAGGCGAGCGGCACCGACGGCGCTGTGAGGCCGACAACGCACTCACAGCTGCACGCACAAACCAGTTGGAGCAAGACCTCACCGTGCAAGCCTGTCTCTGCGCCACTCCCGTACGCGATCCGGTGCGACCCGATATTGCAATGGCCGACAGGCCAGCGGCACCGACAGCGGCAGCGGCTTCCTCGGCGGCAAGCCGACCGGCAAGGCGTTCAGCACTCCGCCGCAGGCATGCCCGGAGCTAGCGCCCGAGGCCCACACGAGACGACCGCCCGCGATTCGCCCGAGATGGACGCGGGGCCACCCTCTCGCCCGCGGCCTTCTTCTTCCATGTGTGCTGCGTTTCCGTTCCGGCAGGCTTGCTCGCTCAAGTTTGACGCCAGTGGACTCGCCATCAAGCGCATCCTCACGGCGCCGCGGCTGCAGCCGTGAACAGAGACGCTGCTCACGCCGCATGCCGCGCACAGGTACCACCAGAGGACGGGCCCCCTTGCCCCACCACTTTGTGTGTGGAGAAGCTCGCCGTGCCTTACCTTGCACAGGTACACCATCGGCCACGTGATGGAGCGATCGCTCGGCAACACCGGCGGGCTCGGCGGCGTCGTTGGCCGCACCCGCTCTGTCTTCTCTGTTGACAAGCCACTCGGTTGGTTAGGCGGCCTCGGCGGCATCTTCGGCCCCGCCTACGCGATCGGCAGGCCGTTGCCGTTCCCTGAGGCGCGTCCGTGGAGGCCGTCGAAGCGCTACCGGCTGCTGCAGGCCGCCAGCCAGCTCGCCACTTCAATCTCGGCCGATCTCGGCTAACACCTGTAAACCCTGCCTGCAGGCTGTTGGGCAGTTCGTGACCTTCCTTAACGAACGCAAGAAGTGAAGAGGTCGCGCCGAAGACTCTGCCGTGCATGTGGACGTGGTCTGAGCTTGGCGCCGTGAGAATGATCTCTGTCGCGTGGTGAGAAAAAACTCGGACCCACGAAGACAAGGAGCGCGCGCCAATGGCCGCCTCCGTGACACTCCCACCTCCTGGGCCGGCGCGGGAGTTTTACTGCCGAGTTTCTCCCGGCCGGCCGCCTCCTGACACGCCCACTGACCGAGCCCATCGAAAAAAATTCGGCGCGCCGCACTGCTCTGACCCCTGCTCGCCCCTGCTCGCCCCTGCTCGCCACTGTCGCCTCGGTTGCCGAGGCTGCCGCGCACCCGCGCGCTACGCGACTACGAACTGCACCAGCTGGGCTCGAACCAACGACCAAAACGTCCCCGACCCGAACGCTGCACCAACTAGGCCACACCGCAGGCTCGATATGCAATACGCACAAAACTGGCCGCTCATAAAGCACTACTCATTTGCCGAGGCCACGCGGCGCCCCTCCACAGCCAGCCTACCCTCCTATCGCGCCACTCGAAGCCCCGCGGCCGCCTCTCGCCTACCGCGCTGCCCTCGCCTGCCACCGCACCGCCCGCGCTCCAGCCTAACCAGCTCTGCATCTCGCAACACACACTTGACAGGGACAGACCAGGCGCAGGAAAAGGGAGCGGGGCCCGAATCCAAGGGACCACCCCGTCGGGCGGAGGAGCTGTGAACTCAGGTCCAGCAGGAAGGCTGCTGGCTCCTGACTCATCCCCCAAATCCCCCACACCTTGGCGGCCTGAAACCTTACCATTCCGACACCTCACACACACCCCTCCCCTAGGGCTAAGCAGTGCGCGAGCCCACCCGACTTCAGGCGAGACGTTGACCACTCCTTCGGAACAGTTCTGTCAGTGGCTGCACTAGACGCCCACAGAGGCGCGCGGCGCGGGCAGATGACTAGGGGAGAAAAAGCGGAGAACCTAGCTCGCTGGGAGATGTGCGCAACCTAAAGACGGGAATAGGGGAGAAGTGTCAGTGTGAGGGGAGGGCGTAGGCTGGCGTTTTTGCCTTTGAAAACTGAACAGTTTTTTTTTTCTGTCGCGTGGTGAGAGCGAGCAAAGCGGGCGCGCAAAACAGCGCTATGACCTCGCTGTTGGAGCACTTGGAGCACTTGGAGCTGTTCTTTTTGTTTTTTCAAAATTGCCAAAAGCGAAAGGAGGGGGTCCTGCAGTGGCCACGATATGGGTGGACGCAGGACGGGCGATGACGGTCACACAGGAGCGACACACAGAACCACAAGACAAGACACTCAGCCAACGGGGCGGCTGCCACACATCCTGAGCGAACTTCCCTAGTCACCCGCGGCCGGACTCCATCCGGCACGCGTCGCTGGGCGCTCAAACGGTTGTGGTTCCCACATGGCAACTTCGGTCAATTTTCCTTTTCGAAAGCGGGTCGCCATTGCTGCTGGATCGGCTCAGCCGATGTCCCGTCCTCCCTCGCGCGCGCGCACAGTGCCGACAGGTCGATCGTGCGCGCCATCTGCTCCTTTGACAGGCCCGACTGCTTGACGCCGCGCGTGTCCTTCTGCCGCGAGGCCATCCCCTTGACGACCTTCTCGATGATCTCCTGCTGCCACTGCGGCGCCTTCTGGTAGCCCTGCGGCGCCAGCTTCTTGAGCACCACCGACCAGTGGTCCTCCGAAGACGGCTCCCGCCGCTCGCGCCGCGCGCCGCCCGCGCCGCCCTCGTCGCCGCCGTCGCCGCCCTTGCCGCCGAATCCGGTCATAAAGGTCGACATGGCGGGAAAAGCTGCGCCGGCCGCTGCTGCTGCGCTCGCCTCTCTTGCTGCGCTCGCGGTCTAGCACGCGGTGCGCTGCTGCGCGGCAGGGAGGCGGGCGGGCGGCGTAAGCAGCTCAGCGATGCGAGAGGGGCAGCAGGGTGCCTCGGTCGGAGTCTGCGCGCAGACGCAGCAGGCGAGACGCGGCAAGCACGGCCTGGCGTGCAGGCAGCAGAGCGGTGCACGGCCACGCGCGCGACGCTGCACCCACGGCGCAGCACACTAGTGGCTGTCATGTTCGGTGCGATTGTGGACGACATGGGACGTTAATCAAAAAAAAATCCGCAGAATGGACGCACGCAAGCTGCGCATGAGTGCGCGCCGTCAGGCTGGTCCTTCATTTGCCTGGTCACTACTGGTCACATGCCCCGGTCCTACTCTAGTACCCCGTATAAAAAAGCCTTTGATAATCAACCGACACAACGGACTGCGCTAGAGGGCCGGGCGCAAACTTGTTGGACCTGGACCTGGACCTGGACCTGGGTCGGCGAGTTTTGGTGGTTCGAAAAGCGGAGCGCGCAGTCCGTTGTGGCTCGAAACGCGATGCCTCCGCCGGGAGACACGGACGGCGCCGGCGGGAGCGAAGAGGCCGGCGATGCGCCGCACGCGGTCGTCGCCCTGCCTGCGAGACACGATCGGGAGCTTGTCTGCGCGCGCCGCTTGGACTTGCTCCACCAGCCGATCGTCCTTCCACCTGGAGACGGCGGGGAGCAGGGACTCGCAGGCGCCGGCCTGCCTCGGTGTGAGCACACGGTGTGAGGCCAGGACAGCTGTTGGTGAGATTGGTGCAGTCATCTAGGCCCTCTCACGTCTCCTCCGACAGGTACAGCAGCAAGTGCGTCGCCGGCGGCTGGACCTGCCCACCCTCCTCGGGCCCCTCGCTGGCCTCTGCTCTGAAGTCTGCGCTGGCCTCCGTGCTGGCCTCCGTGCTGCCCCCCTGCGCGCCTGAGATCCCCTCTGCCCTCCAGCGCGCGTACGCCGGCCTCGCGCGGTGACGACGGTGATGCCGCCGATCGTCTCGCAGAGCTCGTCGGCGAGCTCGCGTGCGCCGACGTTTGCGGACGAGACCCACAGCGCGACCTACTCTCGGACCGTCTCGGGGTGAGATCGAGGCCCACAGCGCGACTACGCGTGCACATGATGTGCACAGAGAGTCGCAATGACTCCCGGCACTTGATGTCCTCAAATGTCCACAGAGAGTATACTGGTTGTGCTCAGGTTGTGCTAAATCAACAGGGTGCAACTGAGAGGCTGCAACTAAGGGATGAAACAGCTTTGCAACTGCTGCCCAAGTTTTGTTGATGGGCTGCAACTGCATCCTGCCACCTTGGACACCTCGACACCTCAGACGGTCGCCTCTTGACAACACTCGACACCCTCTCGACACGCTCGACACGCTCGACACGCTCGACACGCTCGACACCCTCGACCCACTCCTCGACACCCCTCGACACTGGCAAGCGTGGCACCAGCCTCGACAGGCCTCGACAGGCCTCGACAGGCCTCGACAGGCCTCGACAGGCCTCGACAGGCCTCGACAGGCCTCGACAGGCCTCGACACCTCTACCCCTCGACAGCAGCTCGACACCCTCGACACCGGGCCTCGACACCTCGACACCAGGGCTCAGCACGCACGAGCGACACACAGCAGACACAAACAAGCTCACAAGACACACAGCCAGCGGGCTGCCACACACCCTGAGTGGGCGTACACATCACTCAGGGCCACGTCCCCCCTGTCGCCCCCCCCAGCACTCCAAGGTGCCAAAGGACAAACAACAGCACAACAACACAGACAGGCGACAGGGCGAACTTGTGAGGCTAGAGCAGGCTTGCTCCGCCTCTAGCAATCTCGTCGCCGGCCGCAAGGCATGGACGAGACCGTGTGTGGGGTCTTGTGAGGTGTCTATGGACACGCCCTTTAGCCCTAACTCGCACTCATGGGTGACGACAGTTCATTGGATGAGTTGGTTGCGAGCAGAGGCGCGTGTGCTGAATCTAGATCGCACGTCGTGGCACTATGACGAAAGTAGACGTGCGGCCGCAGCGCGCCCGCCGTAGGCTCGACGGAGCGCGCGTGTCAGCTAGAAGTTTGCCAGTAGAGCGATCCTGGTCTTTCCGAAGACGAGCCCCGCGCCACGGGTGCCAGCCGTGCCTTCGCGGGACTCGCCCTTCGAGCCGCGTCCCGTCGGCACTGTCCCTGAGTGCGTCCCGCCTTGACGGCACACACTCGGCGAGGACAGTCCGGCTGACGGGAACGTGCCGCGCGCCGGCGACGATTGCGGCGGGGTGGTTTTGTGTACGAAGCGCCGCTTCGACGAAGCGAGGTTGGCAGGCGCCCCTCGCAAGCAAGACTCGCAAGTGGCAAGACATGCCACACGCCCCTCGCAAGCGAGGTTAGTAGGCGCCCCTCGCGAGAATCGCGAGACATGCCACACCCCCCTCGTACCTATACTCCACGAGCGGGCGATGTACGAAAACTTGAGCTTCCTTTTACCGCGGTAACCATTACGCGCCGCTTTTTGATCACCGATCACCCCCTGAATGAGTAGTCCTGAGAGAACTCGTCGAGTCCACCCGTCCGGGTCAGACTCGTCGGCCTCTACGCTACCGGAGATGCGCCGTCGCATCGTCGGCCTTGCTGTCGGCCTCTACGCGGCCGACCCCGCCTCGGCGATTGATTTACTCCCGCCACCGACGCAGCAGTGCGAGCCGACGACGACTGTGCGGCTGCGCGCCGACGGCGTGCTCCAGAGCTTTCACGGATCGACCAGAAAGTCAGTCGGCGGCGACGAGTTCCACGCAACCATCGTTCGCGACGGGCGAGACATCGCCGTGGCACGAATCTCCGACCAGGCCGACGGCAGCTACTCGCTCTCGTTTGCGCGCGTTGAGTGGCCGGCACCCGCAGGCCAGCCGTCCGCGGAGGCGCTGCAGGTCGTGCTGGTCTTCACATGCGGCACTGGCGCGCTTGGCCCGCCGGCAAAGCAAGGCTGGACGTATTCGGGCTGGATCCGGCGGAGAATACCGCTGATGCTCGCGGCGCACTTGCCGCCGCTCAGCACGCTGGTGCCGCCGGCGGTGCCGATGCCCGCCGCCGCAATCGACCTGCGGCGGTTCGCCGCGTTCGCCGCGATCGGCGACAGCACAGTGCGGCAGTTCCGGCCGCTGATCCAAGAGAAGCGACCGCTCAACTACTCGTACACGGACGCCAGTGGCTCGATGCTTGACCGGTTTTCGCCCGAGCTCGGATCGTCGAAGGTCTGCGAGGAGGCCGCCGAGCGCGCGCTCAAGGCGCAGGGCGGCGTGAGCCACGGCGCGCGCCAGCTGGTGTTGTACGGCAGCGGCGCGTGGGACCTCGTCGACGAGTCGAAGACCGCGCTCACGACCGCCTCCGAGTACCAGGCGGCGTTTACGCAGTGCCTGCGCCAGATCAAGCGGCGGTTCCCGGGAGCGACGTTCGTCCTCAAGGCGTTCTTCATGATGCACCCGCTCCGCGTCGACTGCGAGCGAGCGTCGGCGCTCTGCGCCAACAATATGTGGGGCGCTTCCAGTTGTGGCGAGCGCTGCTACGCGCGCACTAAGTATATGAGCGCCTCGCGATCGCAGCGGTTGTTCGAGCTGCAGCGAGCGGCGGCGGCGGCAGAAGGCTTTGCCACCCTCGACGCGCTAAACGACCTCACCGTGCGCCACGCCCACTGGACGGCTCCCGGCGACGGCATGCACTTCTCGCCGACCTTCAACGACTTTCTTTGGTCGCACACCTTCGAGCCCCGCTGCCTGCAACCGCCGCCCGTGCGCAAGCCCGTCTCCCTCGTGCACCAGCACAGCCAGGCGCGCTGCGTGGCGGGTCGCAGTTTCGGGCTCGTAGCGGGCCTCGAGCGCCGCGTCATGTGGGTGCGAAATTGCCGCGGCCTCTTCCGGTGCCGCCACGGCCCGATCCTCGAGTGCGGCTTCCCTCCGGGCGCTCCGGCGTACAACTGTTCCTGCGATGGGAGCGACTCTGACCTGTATAGGTGGCCGTGCAAGCGCGAAGGAGGCAGAGGCTAGAGACAGGCTTAGCGATTAGGATTTTGATCGACCGCGGAGCCGCGAGTGGCGCGAGTGAATTGGACGAGGGGGGCAAGGGTGTTATGCAGCGAGAACAGATGCCATTGCACGTATCATGCACACCGTGGTCGCATTTTTTTCTTCTTCGTCATCACACAAGGGGCGACGGTGACGAAAAAAAGTTGCGCTCTATGGTTGACAATCCCAACACAGAAAATGATTGATTTTGCCTAGGATTTTGCACGGACAAGACCTCCTCACAGGAGCCTCTCAGGCTACGGCTTTAGCGGCCGCTACCGCGCTAGCCCCGTCTCGCACTCATAGTTGACGATAGTTCATTGGATGAAAAAACTGCTTTGATTCCCTGAGACCTACCACGGCGCGGGGCGCACCGCCTCCATCACACACGCGACACACACTTTTTCGCGATGACATCGGGCGCGCTGCCTGCCCGTCTCCGCGACGAAGATGCAGGTGGAGCCGGGCAGAGAGCCTATCTCCCTCCCTCACCTCTCATACGTCGCACACTCGTCTCTCTCGCTCTCTCGCTCTCTCGCTCTCTCGCTCTCGCTCTCCCTCTCCGCTCCTGCGCGTGTGGCTAGGCGTGCCTCCGCGGGGCGGCCCCCTGGGAGAGCCCCCCCCCCCCCCCCCCGGGGATAGGGACGCAAAAAGTGGCGCCTCCCACAAAATGGCGCTTCCACAACGTCCGTCTCAACTCACACCTCGGCCAGGGGGGCGGGAAAAAGCCTCCCGAACAGCGCCGAAAAATGACCGCACAGCGGCGGCATACCGCCCGCCGAATCGGCGCGGTAAGTGGCCTGCACGGTCCCGCCCGCATACAGCACGCACAGCTCGAGCATGAACCACCCGCCCGAGCGGCGGAGCTGGCCTACAAAAAAGAAAAACACGCGGCCCCCTCATATGGCGGCGCCTCAAAAAGGAACCGAGCCGAGGGCGGCAGCGGGCTAGCGCGCCCGCAAAGTAGCTCTTGTGCACCCCCCCCACCGCCCCGGTGGCGATGCACATCAGGCCCGCCGAGGTGAGCGCGGCCTCGGTCTCGTCTGGCGTCGGCGCCACCAGCCCCGCCGGCATCCGACCGCTCACCACGCGGCTGTGTGCGCTGCAGGCGCCCCACCGCACCTGGCGACAAACACAATCTCGCGTTACTTTTGCGGCGTGGGGCCCTGGTTACGCGCGCGCAAGGCGTGAAGAGAGGGTTGCCAGGTGAGGGAGAGGGAGGGAGAGAGAGAGAGAGAGAGGGAGAGAGAGAGGGGGAGGGAGAGAGAGAGAGAGAGGGGGGGAGGGAGAGAGAGAGAGGGAGAGAGAGAGGGGGAGGGAGAGAGAGAGAGAGAGAGGGAGAGAGAGAGAGAGGGAGGGAGAGAGAGAGAGAGAGGGAGGGAGAGAGAGAGAGAGAGAGAGGGAGAGAGAGAGAGAGGGAGAGAGAGAGAGAGAGAGGGAGAGAGAGAGAGAGAGAGAGAGAGGGAGGGAGGGAGAGAGAGAGGGTAGAGTCTGTGCTTTAGCTATAGCTGCACTGAGACGCACCTCGAAGGCGCCCGCGTCTATCAGCGGGTGCGGCTCGAGCAGCTCCCCCCCCTCCCCTGACGGCGACGCGGCGGAGGCGCACGACGCCGACGTCGCAGCCGCGGCGCGCGGCAGCTGCGCCGGCTGGTGCTGCGCCGGCTGGTGCTGTGGCGGCGCGCGGCACGCGCCGCCGCCGCCGCCGCCGCCGCCGCCCTGCAGCCCCTCCCTCATCTCGAGCTCGACGGCCGCTTCGCTCGTGGTGAGGTGCGAGTAGCACGCCCGCCCTCCCCGCCGCCCTCCGCGCCCGCGCAGCGGCGGCAGTGCCTGCGCCGGCGCACAGCTCACCGACAGCATACCCATCCTCGTCCCGACGCCTAGCGCGAGCAAGACGAGGGCGCCCCCGAAAACGGCGCCGACCAGCGCGGTGGGGCCGCAGCCGTCGCTCGGCGGCGGCTCCTCGCACCCCGACGAGGCGACGCAGTTCTCGTCCGAGTAGCCCTCCTCGTCGGCGTCGCCCTTGACGGCGACGACGCGGAAGCAGCACCTCGCGTGCTGGGGCATCGCGCCCCAGCGCAGCTCGCGCGAGCCCGCGAGCGCCAGCTTTGTGACGTGCGTGCTGCTCGCGCCCGGGCGCGTCACCGTCAGCAGTAACCGGTGCGCCAGCTCCGGCTCGTCCCCCTCCCACTGCACGGTGAGCGTGCGGTCGGCGTGAAGGACCAGCGTCGGCGGCGCGAGGCGTGCGTCGGCAGGAGAGGAGAGCGCGAGCGCCGCCGCAAGCGCCACGCACGTCGACGAGGCGCCTCTCCTTCTTCGGTTGTGGCGGCAGCTGCAGCAAGCCATGCAGCAAGCCTGGGCGCGTCGAGCCTGCGCTTACCCGCGAAAAAAGAAAATACGGTGGTTGCCAACACACACCACCTCACATCGCCATGAACGGCGCACTAAATATGAACGGCGCCTCCCGACCGTACTAGGTTAGGTTTGGTACGAAGGTGACTAGGAAGGTGAAGTCAAAAAGAAAACGTGTGTAAAAGAGATTTGGAAGGAATAGTGTTTGACACGGCGTGCGTATTTTCTTTTTTCAAAGGGGAGAGGCACAACGTAGTTCACCTAGTCAAAACACCGTCTTCTCTCCGAGGCCCGCTGTACTTTGCTCTCACGCCAAGGAGCGCCATTCGCTCCCAACAGCTCAGCGAGGCGTCCCGCGGCTGCCGGTCCGGCGCGTCAAACCACGGCGCCGCGACGTCGGCGTTCGCGTCCAGCCACGCGCTGGCCTGCGCCTCCTCGTCATCGTCTGGCTCCTCACCGTCCCCGTCCTCCTTTTCCTTGCACGCCAGCGCCTTTAGGTACCACCGCTTCGCGAGCTCCTCATCCTTGGCAATCTGGCCGGAGACGCCTCGCTTGTACAAGCCAGCGACTTCAATGCACATGCCGTTGGGTCTCCGCGCGTGGCAGCCTCCATGTAGTGCAGAGACGCGAGCCACTCGTCGCCGTTTCCCTCCAGCTTCGTGCCATAGTTCCTCAGCCCGCGGTAGTTTCCGTGCTGGGCGGAGCGCTTGAACCACATCGTGGCCTGCGTGTCGTCCTGCGGCACGCCGTCGCCGTTCTCGGACGCGGGACAGGAGTTGACGACACGCTCGAAGCGACACACAGACACACAAACTCACAACGTCACAAGACACTCAGCCAGCTGGGCTGCCACACATCACGAGTGAGCGTACGGCACTACGCCACTCGGGGCCACGTCCCCCCTTGTCGCCCCCTCCAGCACCCAAGGTGCCAAGGGCACAAACAACAGCACAACAACACAGACAGGCGACAGGGGCAGGCGACAGGGGTAATGTGTGAGACTAGAGCAGGCTGCTCCCCTCTAGCAAACTCGCCGGCCGGCGAGGCACGGACGGACGAGAGCACGTGTGGGTTCGTGTGAGGTGTCTATGGGCGCTCAGTCATTTGCCGGGTCCCGTACCATGCGGAATCGACCCTATCCAGTGCTCAAGTGCTCAAGTGCTCACCCATACTTTGACCCTTTCTGATGCACTTGGAGCACTTGGAGTGCAGTCATCAACCGCGTATGTAAAATTCTTTATTTAATTACTTTGTTTTTACCGTCGCGGGCCTGGCTTCACGCCCCAGCGGATGCCATCGATGCGCTTGATCGACCGGAAGTACGAGGCCCACAGATGCATCGAGCCCCCATATTGCACGCCTATCTCGAGCAGCGAGACGTCCGGACGTGTGCGGTACTGTGAGAGGAGTTGGGCGTACATGGCATGGTAGTGTGCGCCCCTGTCGTCGCTGCCCTTGGTGGACTTGTGCAGGGACATCATGTGCGCCATTTTGTCGGCGGCATCATCGGCATCGAGCGCGCTGTCCTGCGCAACCAGCGCGAGCAGCAGCAGCATGCACTGGCGACGGATGATGAGGCGGCTCAAATCGCCAAACTTGTGGCTAACCTCGGAATGTGACAGCAGTATGGCTGTGAACGTTCCTGCACAGCCATCTTACCTAAGGATGGCTGAGCTAGCTACACTGCAGCCATAGCCTCCAGCCCGATGGCTGCAATACACAGAGGGCAGCCATCCTGACTAGGGATGGCTGGAAGCTCGCTGCTGCAGCATACATACCGCCCGCCCCGGGGCGGGCCCTCATGGCTGAGCTGGCTAGATCGCAGCCATTTTGGGTAAGATGGCTGGGGCACAGCCATTGCAGCCATCTGCTATGGCTGGAGCACAGCGATTGCAGCCTGTCCGGAGCATGGCTGGTGATAAGACAGCAGCCATCCCGCCACCCCCGCCACGACACGTGCGCAGATGGCTCCCGCACTCGTCGCCCCAGCCTCGCGAGAGGGGGACTGCCCGGATAGCTGGTCAGTATTCCACCTCGTGCCCCTCAGCGCTGTTCTTCACCTTTCTACCTACCTACCTACCGTCGTTGTTTTATTTCGCCGAGTGCGCCGCCGACGTCGACCCCTCCCACACGACCGCGAGTCACCGCATCCTCTGACGCGGGTGTGCGGGATGTCTGTGGGACCGAGAGAGCGATGTGCTTGTGTCCGCCTTGCGTTTGTTTTCGTAACATCGAAGGCTAGCTCAAAACAAAAAAGGCAGCTTTCATCACCTCCTGCGAGCTCGCTGTACACCACGTAGACCCGCTCGGCCATGGCGTTGCGGTCTCCGCGCGCCCTCGCGTGCGCGTTATTGTGCCTCCCCGCCAGCATAGCGTGGCACGGCAGCGGCGTGCGGCCGCGGCTGCCCTCCACCTCCCTCGCGTCTGCTCCACTCGCGCTCCGGCCGGCGCTGCACACGCGGGCGGCTCCAGCCCGGCTCGCCGCTGCGGCCGCAGTGCCTGAGCCGGAGCCGCAGCGGAGCGGGTGGCGGGCTCGGCTGCCGCCGGCGAACGAGCTGCGCAAGATCGTCCCGCTGGCGATCATGTTCTTCTGCATCCTCTTCAACTACACCATCCTGCGCGACACCAAGGACGTCCTCGTCGTGACGGCGCCACGCCCTCTCTCCCTCGTCTCCACTCTGGCTCTCGAGCCTCGGCTGTCTCTCCCCCTCTCGACTCGACGGCCCCGTCCCGCCCCACCCTACTCCCCGCCCCGCGCAGGCGCCCGGCTCCTCTGCCGAGGCGATCCCTTTCCTCAAGACGTGGGTCAACCTGCCGGGCGCAGGCACGCTCACACAACAGCACAGCCTCGGGGTGTCGAAATCATGACAGCACACTGGCCGCCAGACACGCAACACGGGGTCCCAGGGGAGGCGAGCAAACACCGTATCACCAGCTAGACGCCGGCTCGGAGGCCACGCCACGGTCTGCTCGCCCCACGCGCACCACCGGACACACGCGCACCGGGCCTTGCACTTTGAACGCCGTGCCAGCCCCTGCCCGCGTCCGGGCGGGGAGATGCGAGGGCAGCCCTGGCCCTTGCCCCGCCACCTTTGTGTCACCGCCCCTCGCCTCACCTCACCTCACCTCACCTCACCTCAACCCGGCGCAGTGGCCTTCACAGTGCTGTACTCTGCGCTGGCGAACCGGATGGCGCCCCAGGCCCTCTTCTACACCGTCCTCTCCACCTTCCTCGCCTTCTTCGGCGCCTTCGGCTGGCTCATCTACCCGCTCGTCTCTGCCGGCCTCCTCCACCCGGTGACGCTTCCGAGAAAATTCCAAGATCCCTCTCCGATACTTCCGAGACACTTCCTAGACGCTTCCTAGACGCTTCCCAGACACCTCACAGTCACCTCACAGTCACCTCACAGTCACCTCACAGTCACCTCACAGTCACCTCACAGTCACCTCACAGTCACCTCACAGTCACCTCACAGTCACCTCACAGTCACCTCACAGTCACCTCACAGTCACCTCACAGTCACCTCACGACGCCTCCTCCCACACACCTCCGACACGCCTCCCGCTTGCACCGCCGTGCACTCGCCCACGGCACAGTTCACGACATGTCCACGACATGTCCGCGACACGTCCACGACACGCCCACGACACGCCCACGACGCGTCCTCGACAGGTTGCGTTTGCGTCCAAGCTGGCCGCCGCCCTGCCCGCCGGCTTCGCCGCTCCGATCGCGGTGTGCCAGAACTGGACATACTCTCTCTTCTACCTGCTCGCGAACATGTGGGGCTCTGTCGTCGTCTCGCTCCTCTTCTGGGGCTTCGCAAACGAGGTGCACTGTCACCCCACCCCCCCCACCTCCCCCCACATTTTTCCCCCTCACTCCCTCCATCTCCCCCCCATCTTTCCGCCTTACTCCCTCCACCCCCCCCCCCCCACATTCTCCCCCTTACTCCCTACATCTCCCCACAT